CAACATGAAGACCTGGGACTTAGAACTCTTTCTCTTTTCCAACAAAATCTGATTTTGTTACAGAATATTTAGACCTTTCTGTCTGGTTTGCCAGTATTGATACAGTTTGTGGTTATCTTTTTTTTTTTTTATGTCTTCAGAGTATAATTAAATAGATGAAGTACTTGAAATAAACCCCGAAGTTCCTTCCTATATTGTTTCAGTTTGACAATAAAAAAGTACATTGTGGGGTATTTATAGTATTTTTCAATCTATTTTTGTCAGTAGACTGGGAGTGATAACTGATTTAGGGCACAGGGGTTAAAAACAGGAAATGTGGTTTATAAAGTAGTAAACTCCAGAGTTTCCAGTTTGATTTCTTACAGTGTTGACTGAGGAGTGTCACATTCAAAACAACCTTAGGCAGACTACCTTGAACTCTGCCGCGTTTGAAGGAGCGTCCCTCCATTTATGACAGGAAGTACTTCATGGAAAAGGTTGCATTCTTGGTATGGGAGCTGTTTTCTGTAATTGCCCTGTTTTCTTCCTCTCCACCTTTTCAGATACCTTATCCAGTCAGATGAAGTATAAATCTTGTGTAACTTTTAATAAATTTCCTTTGACCTTTTTTATTTTGCTTAGAATTTTATCGTTTTAGTGAAAGGTTTTGTCAGATAACTGTTCATGTTTTTCCTGGGTTGTCCTAGTGGAGGAGAAGCATATCGAGCTGTTATCTACAATAATTAGAGTATCCAAATTAAAATTTTAAAATTTGAAGAGGTATAGTTTGCTGTGTGGCCTTTTGAATGACCGTTTGGTGGGATCTATCAAAGCTGAAAACCTTTGGACAGCAGTTCCACTTGCAGGGAGGTTTCAAATAAATCACTGTGCTAGAAAAATCTGTGCACTGAAGGAGCACTCACAGTGGTGAGTACTGAAAGGCGGTGAAACTCCCTAACAGTAGGAGAACAGTTAAGTAAATCATGGTCCATCCATCCTAGAAAGTACTAGGAGCCGTTGGAAATCAGAAGGCAGATGCCCATGCACGGAACAGCAAACAGCTCGCGTAAAAGTGGGCTAAAGGCCTTCATGGCTGGCTGCCGGTCAAGGTCTGCAGGTGACAGCCAGCCTAGAAAGGATGGCTGAGCACCCTCAGGTGTCACAAAGGAATTGCCAGGCCAGCCGCAAGACATGCTCCACACCTAGCAGGAGAGAGGAGCAGATTTAGAAGCTGCCGACACCAGTGCTGGGGAGGATGGAGGCAGTCGGACCTTACTTCACTGCTGTGGGAATGCAGAACATTACATCCACCTTGGAAGGCAGTTTCTTGCAAACCTAAGCATGCTTCCACCATAAAATCCAGCAATGACATCCTTTGGTATCCACCCACAGGAGCTGGGAACTTAGGGTCGCACAGCCTGCATGTGGATGTTTATGCAGCATCACTCAGTTCCCAAGATGAGCGAGCAGCAGAGGTACCCTGCGGGAAGGGGACAGATGATTGACGGGTCCGCGCAGGTTCTGGTGGCAGTGGGCCCTGAAGAGAGGCGTGCTGTCAAGCCATGAGAAGGCATGGCTGAATCTTCAGTGCATATTATAAGGCGAAAGGCTGCCTGTGTCTGCTTCTAGCTATGTGGCATTCTGGGAAAGGCATTGCTGGGGAGAGTAGTGATCAGGGGAGAGGGCGGGATGCATGGGCAGCGGGTGCAGAGTTTCGGGCCGGAGAATATTCCACGTGACACCGTGCAGGTGGGTAACTCATTGTACGCTGTGCTTGTTTAAACCTGGGAAGCAGAGGCCGGGAGTGCACCTAAGCTAAGCTGTGGACCAGGGGATGGGGACCAGTCGCGTGCAAGTCTGTCCTTGCACCCGACGTGCCACTCTGGTGGGGTGGAGTAAAGGGGGCTGTGCAGGGGGAGCAGGGACTCAGTTTTGCTAAGAACCTAACCTTGCCTCGAAGCAGTCTTTAAAAACAAAAAGAATGGCTGTGTTATATTCTGGAATAACATGATGAAGTTTCAAGATGGGAATATGTAGTACAAGCTCACTTTTTAGAGAAAGAAATACATTCCTAGGTAAATATGGGAAAGAATGTCAGTTGTGGGTACTCCTGGGAAGAAGGATAAAGAACATTTTCCGGACTTTGATTTATCATTTACGTGTGAACTTAAACTCCTGTGGTTTTATTTTTTTTGCAGTGAGCATTTGTTTTAATTTTCAAGATGGAAAACTAAGAACAAGTTACAGTCAAGATCAATCCAAAATGCTCCACATTCTCTTCTGTCATGTGGATGTTTCTCTGTAGCAGTCTGCGTAGCAACTTGTCCAAATTATAATAATTAAATGTCTATGTTTAATTCATAAAGCACCTCCCCATACCTTCAAGAAAAGCTGAAGTTTCAGTGATTTAACTGATCTTCAAGATGTAAAACCAGTCATCCCAGCACAGCTGTACTTTCTCTGACAAGCTGTGGCCAGGATTGTTCCCGGGACCTGCACAAAGGAAATGCGGCCATCCTGCATCAGGTTAGGGATGCGTCCTCACAGCGGGCAGGTGCTGAAGGGTCCACGCAGATGCCCACCCTTGCTGGTGCGGGCTTTGCTGCGCACCTGGATAGTTCAACACTGCAGCTGCTCTCTTGTGCTGTTGGGGGATGACTCCGAGCTCTTCCTCTCTGCTGCAAGGCATGTATAAGTGTGTCATTCTGGGCGTGTCCCCACTTATGTGTGAGCCTGTGCACGTGTGTTGGTTTAGTCGTGGTACTCAGCGTAGTTTCTGATGTGGAATGGTAATATTTTAATAGTGCACCTATTCCTAAATCAAGGGACCTCCCTATGTGATTCAAAGAAGAGACCAAGAGTGTCACCAAGCAGGAAGGCATCATTTCCACTTCAATCACAAGAATAGGTTCGCTTTGTTGGAGAAGCTATGAGTGGTACTGGCTGACTTACAGGAAGCCCACTGTGCAAGAAGCTACCCTGCGCTTTGTTTACTCCACAGGGAGTTTCCGTGCGGGGCTCCAAGGCTGATTGCTCTGTGGCAGTCTAGGTCGATAGTGTAGGTGGGGACACTTCTGTGGTCAGATACATGTCACACTCTGATTTCGTATTCAGAGTGTAAAGAGGACACATACTGCAAGTGCTTACAAGCTGCTTCTTAGTGCCTCGCCTGAATAACATGGAAAGTTCTGGGTGTTCATCTAAGGGTAACCTTTTAAAAACACTACTTAATTACTGCATCATAATAATGTAGCACTTCTCTGTCACTTTAAGAAGTGAGTTAGTTTGCCTTATTTTTTTCTGGATGTACCTTCTAAATTTTTTTTTTTTTTTGAGACAGGGTCTCGCTTTGTAGTTCAGGCTGGCCTTGAACTCACTATGTAGCCCAACCTAGTCTCAACCTCGCAGAGATGCTCCTGCCTCAGCCCCTCCAGTGCTAGGATTACAGGCATGCACCACTACTACCTTGACACCCACCCTCTCACCCAGCCTCACCAAGAATTGCACTGAGTTTCGAATAACAGCAGCCTCCTGCTTCGCGAAGGCCTCTATGCAATGGGGATCGGCCACCACAAAACCCACCGCCAGCTTGCGCTGCTCCTGGAAGGCAGAGCCTGGGTGGGGCAGAGGCAGGGGTTAAGGCCCTGCCCCTCCGATCGTGCCTGGGCCCCAGACCCGGTCCTTCCAGAAGCAGGCACTCTGCTCAGGGTTGGCCCACAGACCCTCTTTGGAGCGCATCTTTAAGGAGAACTGGTAGGAGTTGCCCTTGTCCAGGAAAATGCTCTGGGGCAGCTGGTACTGGGACTTGAGGTTGTAGATCTTCTCGTAGCTGGCCATGTCAATGTGCACGCCGCCCACGCTCAGCCAGTTTCTCTTCAGATATAAGTAGTACTCCTGGCGAGTGTGAGCAGAGTCAGCGTGGGTATGTGGGGCTAACCAGCCGCCCCAACCCTCTCCACTTACCTGGTCCTGTTTCTTGTTTTTCCACCAGCGCCAAGTAGGATCGTGTACCGGGTCTGCATATGGCTACAGGGACCACAGGATTGAAGGAGTCGGGCGACAGGTCCGAGGCAAGTGGCAGCCCCAGATCCCCCCTCACTTGGGTTCCAGACTATAACCCAAAGCAGAAGGTATCTACTCCAGCCAGTCCCCAAACCTAGGCCTTTCTTCTGGGGTACTAGACATTGAACCCAGGGCCTTCGAACTGAGCTATATCCTACCCATGGGGGTCGGTCCCTGTCCCCCATCTCTCTTTCTCTCTCTCTCTCTCTCTGTCTCTGTCTCTTAGGTAGGGTCCTGCTAAATTGCTAGATTGCCCAGGCTGGGTTCTAATTTGCAATCCTCCTGCCTCAGTCTCTTACACTGCTGAAATTACAGACGTGCACCACCACACCTGGCAATCAGATCCGGCCTTCGCACACCAGCTGTACCCCCAAAACCACTCTTCACAGTCCTGTTCAAGCCTGCCCCGCCTCCACCCCCCTCCAAGTCCTCAGCCCCCAATTCTGCTGCGCAGGTCAGTTCCCTCTGCCGGGTGTCAGACACCGCGGGGCACCACCTTGTTGTACTTGGAGTGCAGCCAGAGCAGGTAGTAGAGGAGGCCCTGGTAGACCGCGAGCGACTTCTCGCTGTGGAAGCCCGAGCTCTCCAGGACGTGCGGCGGCCGAGCCCCGTAGCGCTCCTCGCGCGTGTAAGCCTGAGGGTTGGGCAGGTTCAGCAGGCTCAGCGTGGTGAAGGGGCACTGGTTGGTGAAGGTCAGCACCGGGTGGCTCCTGTGCAGCGGCAGGGGGGCGGCAGCTGACCAAAGCGCCTGCCACGGGCACACTGCGAGCCTCCCGGCCTCACTCCTGCCTCCACGCTGCTGGCTCCCCAAATTAGTCCAGCCCTGTGCCTCAGCCCCTGTCAGTGTCCCAGCTCGCTGTCCTGGTTCCTCACACCAAGGCCTCTGCCCTCCACAGCCAATCCCCCAAAGCCTCCGCTTGGCATTTGTGTGGTGTGGTGTGGTGTGGTGTGGTGTGGTGTGGTGTGGTGTGGTTTATTACCAGGGATTGAACACAGGGCCTTCACATTGAGCGAAGTCCCCAGCCGCTTTTTTATTTTTCTCATTGTGAGACAGGATCTCACTAATTTGCTCTAGCTGCGTTTGAACA